TTGATGCAGCCACTGACCTCTCGCCACCATTCCATTGTCACCTCACACTCTTCTGGGAACGCCACAGATGCTGTGACGTCCTGGGCTTCAGTCTCCCACAACAGATAACTTATCCCCTGAAGGCTCGTGTCCTCCTGGTGTCCTCCTGTGGCTTTAGGTCAGAGCCACCAATTAGCCTGACTGAAGAGCAGGTCCCAGGCAGCAACTACTATTTCACAGCCCACCAATTTGTGAAGATTGGAGCCATGTCCAAAAGCTCGGAGAGACCTCTGGTACTCTGGTATGGCTTGTCCCCACAAATGCAGGGGAGACGGCGTGTCCAGGGACACGGACTGCCCATGCCCCTGAGCCGAGGGCAGAGCTGCCGGACTGGGGAATCTTCCTGGCGAGGTGGAGGGAAACTGCAGCCTTCTCTCTGAAGGTCACGGGTTCCTCTTCCCTCTCGTCCCCCGCCCCCCACGGAGCTGTGCCAATAACCTCCACACTAGAAAGGTTGCCACTCTGACGCCACTTGCCCCCCTCCCACCCCCACCTGTTCCTTGGAGGGCACACATAAAGGCTTCTCCTTCATCTTCACCAACCATAAGAACAGATGCTAACCTTCGCCAGGACCCAACGCATTCTCTGTCTGCAGACCCAGGATCGTAAGATCGGAATCCTGTTCCCTACCACGTCTCACTTCCTCTCCGCCCTGGGGACCAGACCATGCAGACAGGACCGCGACAAGGACCTGTTCCCCTCAACAGGCCGGACGTGAGCTGGCAAAGGACCCAAGGCATTGAGGGCCTGGATGAGCCTTGCCGGTGGGCCTTGACAAAGAAGAGAAGACCTGCTCTGGTCAAGAACCCTACGAGGAAGATGAGAACAAGGATGAACAGTCAGACTCCTTCCGATCCCAGTTCTGTTCACAGACACGGTGGCCAGCGAGCTCAGTGAGGAAGGCTAGAGCTGGGGGTGGTGGCCCAGTGCTGGACTGGGGGAGCAGGGAGCGTGAGGGGAGGTGGTGGTGGCTGATGGCGAGAACATGGATCCAAGCCCTTTGGCAACATTGAAAATATGGAGCCCCCTGTCTTCCTGGTCCCCAACACTGTCCTGCCGGCAGCTGTGCTGGGCCGGGCTGTCAGAGACCCTGTAATATCAACTCAACAATGCATGTTCTAGGGCTACGGCTAATACCAGGACATCTACTACAGTGCATGCATTTAGTTCAGTCCCACAGAGACATACACTCTAAGAACAGGCAGGGGAGGTGTGAAATGTTTTACTGGACAACAGGTGTTTTGGAGTCGTGACTAATAAAAAAAAAATCGAAAACGAAAGTGTACAAAAAAAAGACATTTCTCGAGAGTTGGATATGAGTTTGTTTCTTGAACTGTTTTCATCTGAACAAGCAAAAACATGCAAACCAGCTGGTACTAACAGGAAGCTGGACACTGAGAGAGGATTAATAGGTGTGGACAAACCTTCCCGCTGAGCGTGCTCAGAAGAGTGTTTGAGAGGAGGTGTGCAGATCCTAGTGTAAGAGAGGCGGGAAAGTATGCCTCAGAGACACTCTCTCACCGCAGCCCCAACCAAGCAAGAGAAAAGACAACAGAAACATGACTCTCGCACTCACCACCACCGTCAGGAGCTCATGTTACTAGACTGGAATAAAGCTGGCAAGTATAAAGTACAGTAAGGGGTCCTGGCTGGGGCCGGAGATGGGCTGGGGGGGGCGGGCAGGGGGCTCAGAAGCTCTTCAACTGATACACAGACCCACCCCGTGATGTCACCCGGAAATAAAACAGCCTGAGCATCCAAACCACTCCCCTCACCTGTGTGTGTGTGTGTGTGTGTGTGTGTGTGTCGGGGGGGTCGCTGACCGAACTGGACTTAGGTTTGGGTGGGACGGGATGAGGCCATCAGAACTGAATGAGTACGATCAAAATAAACAAACAAACTCTCGACTGAGCACAAGAAAAGATGACGTTTCAGACTACCGGTGAAGGTAAAAGAAAAGTGACCACTGATAGTGAAGTCATCTAGGAGTCGGCAGGGACCTTGCCTGGCGGGGGGTCTCCTGAGCCCTGCTCACCTCAGGTCCTGAGTGAATTAGGAAAAGGCGGGCAGGCTGGCCTCGAGGAGTCGGCTGAGGTGGGTACAGAGCTCAAGGCCCCCCTGGACCTCCTACCCTAACACCATAGCCCTGACAGATACGAGTTGCCAACCTGAGCGAAATCCGAGTTGCTCCCCACGCCCCCACGGCCCTCAGCAGGTGCTTCTACCTCAGGAAGCTCCCCTGGTACATCAAAATACGGAAGCAGGAAGAAAACAAAACAAAACTGTGGAGCTGGACAAAAACAAAAGGCCTTCCTTTCACAGGATGCCTGATCCCTAGACCAAGCTTGACAGCCAGCCCCTGGGGAGTGGAGGCCACGCTTCCTGCGGTTTGGAGTCCCCTGCCAGGTTCGGGGGAGTACCAAACTCAAGGTCGGTACTCCACAGACTCCCTGTACCAGCTTCTTCCTATAAGACGAAGTGCCTGGGCTTGTGATACCCTCCAACAGCCGAAGCTGGTTGCTTGGGGGGAGGAAGGAACACCCCTGTCCCCCGGGAAGGAGCTGGCATGGGAGGAGGGTGCGCAGGGTTGCAGGAGCAGGGGAAGGGAGAACCAGGCAGTCAGCCTTCAGCGATCACCTGCTGGCCCGGGCTGATGCACAAACGCAAACCAGCCTGTGCTGTCCCTCCCACGCGTTTGCCAAAATGCCACGGAGAGGCCACCACAACAGGTAAATAACTGGCCGTCTCAACCAGGCTCGGAGTCCAGATTATGTTCTAGAGGGAGGGAGGGGACAGTCCTTACAGGCCAAAATGTGCTAAAAGAAAGACAGGCAGAGATCTTCTTTCCCCAACCTTGTAACCCTGCTCCAGGTCCAAAACCTGGGATGGGGGTGAGGGGCTGAGCTACCCTGTCTATACAGAGGCAGGTGTCTTCCAGCCCACGCGGTGTTCTGACCTTGGCAGGCACGGTCTGGTTGTCGCCCTGGGGCTCACCCCAAGGCCCTGACCCCCAGGCAGTACTGCCGGGTGCCCTGTGGCCTCCTGGCCAAGCCTGCACCCTTGGGGCCAGGCACCTCGGAGTTGAGGATTTACTCCTTGCACTAACCTAGGCTGGTGTGGGGCAGGTGGTCTGGGAGCACGCTCCTGAATAGAATTCACTAACAGTGCAGCGATGAGCATGGCTGACCTCGAATGGCCCCTGGGAGACTTGGCTCCCGATGGAAATGGCTACAAATAAAACACCACTGATCCTGGAAAAAAAAGTGTGGTTGGAGATGGCTCTGGAGTTTGGCGTTAGGAGTTGGGGAGGGATGGGTGGGACTCCCGCCTGGCTCTGGGGGGGGTCCGTGAGAGGGTGGGGGTGGCGGAGGGGGGCACAGGCCACAGGGAGACCGCTCTCAGACTTGCGAAGAACCCCATGCTGCCCTTTAAACTTGCCATGAAGTCAAGGAGAATGGGGGTGGGGAGAGAGGCAGGGTTAATTTCGGGTTAAAGTTTAGTTTCATAATCCAAGTTATAATAAGAAAGAAACTGAACGGAGAAAACAACCAACACTCAAAAATCTCGAGTTTTCTTTTTGTCGTCCCCCCCACCAGGCACAGGTAGGACAGAGGCTTGTTTGTAACGATACCAAAAAGCACTCAAGTTAAAAAAACCAAACAGAACAGGGAGACACCAGGCAGCGGCACGCCTGCCCCCAGGGCAGGGGCACCAGGGGACACTGGCCAGAGGGCAGGTGGGAGCCGCTGGAGGCTGAGCAGGTGCCCAGCTCTCTGGCTAATTGGCCTTCAGCAGCCCCCAGCGAGCTCCTGGCCCCTCCAAACAAATCCCCAGTGGGTGATTCCGGGGAGTGGCTCCTTTGTAGCTCAAGGCAGCGCCAGTTTGCATGGAACGGATTTTTACTGATGTTTCTAAAGGGCCTCACTGTGCCAGTCTCTTACCACTGAGGGTTTGGGTTTTGGCATTTGCCCTCCGGGCTTTGAATGCCCCATTTCCTGGTACCCCACCAGTGCCTCCCTTCCCCCACCCTCCTCAGAGCCCTGTCCCTAACTGCTCCCTGGGGTGCTCTGCTGCCCTGTCCCCGGGGCATGGTGGGAAGAGTCTTGGCCCCTCCGCAGCTGGGGCGCGGATTCCAGGCGGCCTCCCGGGGAGCCCGGCACACAAGGGCAGCCCAGCTTGCTTAGCCAAGGCGGGGAGCATCTGGTGGGGAGGGACAGAGGCTGCTCTGGGGCCCGCGTTGTGGACATACCAGCTCCAGCCAGACCCACAGGGCTGCTGGGAAAATGCTCCCACCTCACTTGAGGGGCACTAGACCTCCTAAGAGGCTGGGTTTAGAGACCAAAGGACCAGGGCAGTTTTGTGGGAGAGGAAAAACCCCAGTTCCCTTGGCAGGTGGAGTCCAGGACCTCTCCAGTCTCTACTCTGAGGAGAGCCTGGGAGGCAACAGGGGCTTCAAGAAATCACTCCCTTTCACAGAGGTCGGGACTGGCCCTACTTCTGGCCTCGGGGCACCAGGGTCTGAGCTGAATCAGTAAGGCCACTTGCCAGGTGCAGCAGGGCCCTGGAGGCCGGGAGCCTCCCTCGCACAACCCGGATCTTCTCTGGCTAGGTCAGAGGCCCAAGGAAGGGAGCCTCATGCAGCAGTGAAAGCCAACGAGGGAAATGCCGCGGGTGCCCTGAAGCCGGCTGTCGGGTGAGGGGGCCGTCCCAAGTCAAAACCAAGGTCACTGCTCTGTTTTCGAGGAGAGAGTAAGACTCTACCTTTGGTTTGCAGTCCTGTGACTGATCCGCACTGGGAGCTGCCCCGGGGTGGCAGGGCCTCGCCCGCGCCCCCCTGTCCCCACCCTCTGGGCTGTGGTGACAGGAGTGGACAGATGCAGCCACACAGATCCAACAGGGCCTTTACCTTCCCCCGCACACTGGGGCATGCCTGGGAGCGCCTGCCCCGCACACCTCCCTACCTGATCCTCTTGCAGCCGCCACCGCCGCCGCCGCCACTGGTCCGTAAGCCGCTGCTGGGAAGCCTGGCGGGGAGAAAGGAGCTGGAGTGAGGGTCAGACCCTGGAAGGGGCCCCCCGGCACGGCCCAGGCTCACAGGCCTCGCACCACCCCCTCCTCCAAAGGCTAGGAGCCAGAAGGGATCTCCTCGGGGCAGCCTTTAGGAGGGACCCAGGTCAGCAGCTCTCAGGCTTCTGGAAGGCATAGCCCCTTTAGGTGTGTTTGATTCCTACACAAAGGTCACCACAGAAACTACTTCTAGAAGGCACACCGAAATAATCTAAGAGGATGAGGAGGATCCTCTCTTGGGAGAAGGGCAGGGTCCCTGCTGTCCTTGCCATGACTGAGGGGGTCCCCCAGGGTGTGTCCATGGCAGCGCCAAGCATGGCCCAGGAAACCCCCACCCCCACCCCGGCCCCGACCAGGTGGCCCTGAGCCTCTGGGCAGCACAGGCACCTGGGCCAGGAGGTGGCTGAACTCCAGCTGCTCTCCTGAGGCTCTGCTGGTCCGGACTCTGGAAAGCCTGTACTAGCATCGTCTCAGCCCCATGCCGGAGGGTGAGGTGTGCTGGGAGGCCCCACTGACTGCCCGAGTACACGGGAAGGCAGCTGGGGGAGGGAGTGGGTAGCCACAGGGACCAATGTGAGGTGAGCCCTGTGGCTTTGTCTCTCCATTTCAACCTCCTGAGGCACATGATGGGGATTTCGATCTGCCTCTTGTCTGAGCTCCACATCCTGATCAAGTTGGCAGTGAAGGGTGTCCTAGGGGTCTCCATCAAGTGTCTGCCTAGCTAAGAACACCAGGAGCAGCAAGGCTGTCCCAGAAATGGGACTGAAGGTTGGAAGGGAAAAAGTGACCCAGCGTGGCTGCAGAATGTCCAGGGGAAGGAAGAGGTGGGCGAGTCCTCTCCCCTGGGCTTCTCTTGGCCACTAGCATCACGCATGCACAGTCACACGTGGGGACGCACACAGACACACTCACGCACACAAAGAACAATCGCCATCTGCCATCCAGGCAGACTTTTCGAGGCCTGATTTCAAGCCCCAATTCCAAAGGCTGTGGTTTTAAACGATGGGCCAGAAGCCAGCAGCAAACAACGGGCAGCCAGACAGCTGCTCGCTCGGCTTCAGCCTCTGGGCCTTCCAAATACGGACCTGCTACAGGACACAGTGGGGGAGCACATGCACCATGGGGGGCAGGGAGCGGGGTGGGAGTAGGGAAAAAAGGATAGAAAGAGAGCCATCCCCCAAACACAGCAGAAACTAGAAGCCCACTAAACTCTAAGACTATTATCCTAGCTACACAGAACTACTGGGGAGGAAAAAAAGTTCAAAAGGGAATGAGCTACTCTAAAAAGGTCAGGCTAAGCTACTTAAAATGTCAATGAAAAAAGACATACTTGCATTTAAATATGGTAATAGGGCTGTTGAAGGGGGAAAAAGAAAGATCTAGGTGAAATGAGGGTACAAGGTCATCCCTGGCTGCTGGAACCGGTCTCCCAGCTCCCATGAAGACCCCACACATGCCAGGAGGCCACTCCCTCCCCCACGGGGGCTACCACGGCCCCCTGCCACCTGAGACCCAGGAAGGCATTCCCCCACCAAGTCCTTTCCCCCTTTCTTCCAAGCAGGGTCTAGGTTTCTGTAAATGTGGGTGATAGAAGAAAGTGCTGAAGGAAAATAAGGAAGAATTGGAGTTATTACTCCCTGTCCCAACCTCTGCACACTAGGCACCCCCCTCCCCCACTGCAGGCACAGGCAGCAGAGCTCAGGGGACCCCGAAAGGAGAAGGAAGTGGGCTGGGAGAGAAGGAAGGTCAACTTATTCTTTTGCACTCCTCACCGGTTTCCTTGGAAGCCTGAAAAGATGTCCACGGCGGGGGGAAGGGAGTGGGGGGCAGAACCAGAGGGAGGCGAGTTTAGTCAATAAAAAAGACATTTAACAAAAGGGTTATTTTCTGGAGTCAAGTGCATTTTTGACCAGAAAAAAAAAAAAAAAAAGAGTCTGAGAGAAAGAGGAAGGAAAAAAAAAACTTATCCAAGAAAGGAAATCCATTATCCTTAATCTCAGATAAAGGTTTCTGCTGGAGACTGAGCATCAGACACCGCTAAGGGCTAGAATTTCATCTCAACCATCAAACAGGGCTGAGCAGACTGACAGGTGTGAAAAGAGGGCCAGGGAGGAGAGTGCAGTCTGCACCCCACACCAGAGACACCAGAGAGGGGAGCCTGCAGCCCTCGCAGTGACGGCATCTGAGACGCACCAGGGCGAGGGCCCCAGCCCAGCCTCTGTGGGACTCTGTCACGGATCACTTCCCCAGCTCGCTGCCATCCCCCCTCCCGTCCTCCGAGGCAGCTCCGCTGCACTGGTCACCCCACACGTATTCTTCAGATGACCTAGTGGATAAGCCCAATGCTATTATCAGGGGGGCCCCATGGACTCTCCTTGGTGGCTGGGCTTGCTGGGGATGGGCAGACCCAGATCCAAGAACGGTGGGGTGCGTGTGTTTGTGCACATGAGTGCATGTGTTGGGGTGACACAAGGGGCTATCAGAGGCCAAAGCAGCATCACGACCCGGGGCCTCAAGCTGTCCTGATGGAGAACAGCCTGTCTCTAGGACAGTGGGAGGCACCTGAGGACCAGGAGGCCCCAGCCCAGGGACTGTGGTGGAGATGAGCCCCCTGGCCTAGACCTGGACCTGGAAGAGCTGCGGGTGCAGGGAGGACAAGCCTTCCAGACTCGCCTCATGGTCCTGTTTTCAGCTTTTCTCCCCAGCCTGAGAAGACAGGGGTCATCTATGGTGGCCTAGCTGTCTGGGAAACCTCTCATTTTACTTCTGAAGGGAGAGGCGGTCTGGGCAACCGAGGAGAGACCTGTCCCGGCCAGGGGTACCCAGGAGAAGACCTTGGGGGAATTAGGTAGAAGGGCTGACAGGGTCAGGCGGCAGAACCCCTGGCCCCGGAGTGCCCGTGGCTGCCCCAGCACCCTGCTCACTGTCCAAAATAGATGACCATCTCCTCTCTGCTGCTGGGAATGTGGGCAGAGGCTTCCTGCTTCGTATAGCCTGCCTGGCCAATGGGAAGGGAGCAACCAGGCCTCCTGTGAGGCAGGTGAGCACGAATCTTGGGTTCAAATCCTGGCTCAGCCATTTACTAGCTGTGTGACTTTGGGCAAGTTGCTTAACCTTTCTGTGCCTTCATGTCCCCATCTGTAAAGGATGATATGAGTGCAAGATTAATATACACAAAATGCTCAGATGAACTCCTGCCAGGGGGTAAGCTTCAATGAATGTCAGGTGTCATTTTGGGGAGGCCTGTCCAGCCGTCAGCCCCAACTTTAAGACAGGACTCCCCTGCACAGAGGGCTGTTCCACTCTCCCCATGATGGGCCACAGGGCCAAACAGGCATAAGCACACGGGGGAAGGCTGGAATGCTTTACCCGTAACAGTGGCCTGTCATCCTTCACATTGTCCCAGCCTCCTAATGTCATTCTAGCAGAGCTAAAGTTCCCTAGCTCAAGACTAGCATATACGTTCCATTCAGCTCTTACAGTAACTGGGCCAAGGGGGCTGGCGGGACCCTCCTGTTCTAACACTTTTCCTTCCTTAGCAGTAAATCAGGCACCAAAGAACCAGATGTTTTGCTGATAGAAACTCAGAGTCTGGGGGCATAGGTTGCCTGCCCAGGAGCCTGGGTGTTAGGAATGAGGCCTGCCCCTCCTGTTTGAGCCCCCTGCATGCACGGAGAGAGTACCTGGGAGCAAAAGAATGATGCTGAGGCTTAACTCCAAGTGCACACAGGTGCCATGCCTTATTTAATGGAAGTCAAATCCGAAGACCCAGTCTCGCTAGTCTGAAGGTCCTCTAGCCCTCAGATGGGAGAAGAGAAGGGTCACCCTGCTTGGAGTCAGAGCCCAGCCTCCATCCCCTGCTGCCCTGGCCTCACTGCGTAACCTGGGCACGGCGTTTCCTTTCTCTGGGCCCTGAGTAACCAGCTCGTGCGGCCGGAGAACCACTGTTGTCCCTTCACCTCTGAGCCTGCACGAACCCATCTTCCTGATGCCAAGGTCTCTGGCCCTGGAAAGCGGTGCCTCTGGGCTTCATAACTCATCTAAGTATAAGCTGTCACCATCCCATTTACCGTGAATGAGACGCTTTCCTGGACTTCTCCAAGCTGGGAGAAACTGGACGGCAAATTAGAAGTTAATGGCACTTTAGATTTTTTTTGAGAATTCTAGGGCACCACACCTCCTTTGGATGCTTCCTGGGAAGCACTGGTTCCTGCCTCCCTGAAGCAGGTGTTTTGATGTGCAAATCTTCTCTTGCTTGCTGACAAATTCTTCTAGGGCAGGGCCTGAGCCCCATGTCCCACTTAAGGCCTAGTGCAGAGTCTGCCCCAAAGAAGGTTCTGGTGGAGCACCAGCTGCTGAGGGTCAGGACGACCCGGGGAGGGTGCCTGAGAGCCGGCGCTGGAAGTCACTGCTGCATGGTGGCGTCACTGCACGTGGAGCTGCCTCTCCTCCGGCAACCCTCCAGCCCCAGGGGGACAAGCTCAAATGCACGGGAGCATAATGAATCAGACCTGGGGGGTGGGGGGCTGCTCCCTGGCCCCCGGGGAGCCTTGACAAATCCTGAGACCTGGCTCCACAGAGAATCAGACTTAGCTGCTCTGGGCTGCAGCCCACATGCACAGTGGGACCTTTCCCTGCTTTCCGGGTGATCCCAGGGCACGGCCAAGGGCTCACACCTTTGGTGTAAAGGCTTTCAAAAATTTTAAGACGTTCAATGGCACCGCACATCTGCCCAAGTCTGTCATCCTGCTTCCTTGTGGAAAGGAAGGCCCTCCCGGCGATTCAGCAGTGACTCTCCTCAGGACCATGTCTCTTTTGAGACCCACGGCAGGGCCTCTGCGCAGAGCAGCGGGGCTCCAGCCTGGCCAGGGGGAGCTTTCACAACACATTAAGAATCAGGGGAGGCCCCCATCGCTAGCTTTTAAAGGCCTTCCAGATGCTTCTGACGCACTGTGGAGGCAGAGACCCCTGACTT